AGCGTCGTGCTAATAAAGCGAAGGTGGCAGGTTCGATACCTGCATGGGCCAATCTCTAATAACTTTTTTGGCCCCACTCTTTTAAGATCTCTTAATTTTTTTTTTAAAATATTTATGATCTCTAATTATTAAGCTTATGTTTGGTTCACTCATTCGAGTTTTGTTGATTTAAATTTTTTTGTTTTAATAAAAAAATTTAAATTATGTAGTTTAAATTGACATTTAAATGCACAGTTAAAATTTTAATATGAATGAGGATTACAATTTGAATTAGTATTTGGTAGATGTAAAAAGTAAAAAGAGTAGGTATCTTTTTACTGTTTAAAAATGATTTGAACGGTTGAAATTAAATGGAGAGTTAAATTTTAAGTTGGACAATTTAACTCAATTCAAACAGAAAATATAATTTAGATTGCGTATTTATCAAATATGAGTTTAAACTGTCTTCGCTGTTCGAGCTGAACTAAACTGAGTTAAATCAGTAAAACAAATGAGAGCCTAACATCATCTAATCTGTTGTTTTTAGGTCCAATCAACTCTGATTTAGGCTTTTAAACAACATTTTTTCTGAGCCAGACAAATTCTTTTTCGAACAGCCAACAAATAGCTCATTTTTTTAACTATAGAAAAAAAAAAAAAAACTCATTTTTTCAGGATCAAAAACCAAAATCAACCAAACAAGCAATATCCACCAAAAGGCAAATTATGATTGGAATTTTCCCATATCCAAAAACAGCTAAACAACATCACTTCGGTTAGGAGCACAGATGATAATATTGATATTCTTGATATATGGGTGCCTAAATTTTAAAGAAATATCAATAAATATATTTAAAGATGAGTATTTTATCTGCGGATATCCACTTTAAATAGGATGGATATAAGAGTAATTAATTGGAGATGGAGGCGGGTATGAGAATTTATATTATCTCCATAATCAAAAGCGGGACAGGGGAAGTACCCTCCATCTGCCCCTGCCCCGATATATCTATACATATATTTTTAAAATTATTTTCATTACAAATATTTGTTATATATTATAATAGTACTTAAAAAATATGAGTTTAAAACAAATTAAAAGTATTTTACTATTTTACCATCTTAAGAAACCCTAATAATTTCTAAATTTAAAAGATATTAATGTTACATTTATCAATTTTATATTTAATTTATTGCAATATTTTTTTTCTTATTGAGTAAATGGGTAAAGTATAGAGAAAGCATCCCTGATGGGTATTTTTTGACCCCAATCCCGACCTAAATGCGTGGGTATGGGAGGCAAAAGTGAAAACGAGGGTGGGGTTAGAGGAAGCATACCTGCTCTGTTCCACCCGATGCTCATCCCTAAACATATCATATTTGTGGGAAGTTTGACTAAAACCCAGAAATTTATTTTAAAACACTTTATTTTTAAATGTGATTTTAAGAAATTCTACAATAACTAATGATACATAAATTAGATGAAAGTCTCAATCAAACATATGAATTGTATTATAAATATGTATTTTTGTGATTATAATACAATTAATGATAAGTACACATTTATAAATTAAATAAAATAACTTAAAGTTAAGCTAATGTGATCATAATACAATAAATAATAAGTCCGCGTTCACAAATTAAAATTGATAAAGTATTTCAATAAAACAAAAAAGCTGGTAAAGTATAAAAAAAAAAAGAAGACTACGTTTAGATAAAAAAGCAAAACGGACATAATTTTACATTAGTAAAATGTATTTTAAAAATATAATAAATATTTTTTTTTTGGAATTTTATCAAATTTTTCATGAAATTTTTGTAAAATTTCACAATATTTAGTCATTTAACACTACACTTTTCATGGAAATATAGAAATTTTTATAGTAATATTAAGATATTTTGCAAAAAAGATACACCTCTCTTTCCATATTGGTACTTTCAAAATATAGAAATTTATGCGAGAATATAGAAATTTACATGGAAATTTTAGGATATTTCGCAAAAAAAGATGCACTCCTATTTTCATATCGGTATTTTTAAAATATGAAAATTTCTATGAAAATATCAATGAAAATTTCATGCGGGTTTAGCACAATTGCCCACCGAATTTGTCGTGGTTTAGCAAATTACCTCTTAAATTTTTAATTTGACAATCAATCCTAAACTTGTAAAAGTGTTGCAATATTCCCTATTTTACAAAATTTACTGAGATTTTTTTATTAGATTTAAGTGATTAAAAGTTGATTAATTAAAAGATTTGTGTTACATTTGAATTAGGATGTCAAAATTTTTCCTCGAATGTGCTTTTCAATACTAATTTAATATAGTCAAAATGGAGCATATTGCAACAATTTTATAAATTAAAAGAGTAACTTGTCAAAAAAAAAAAATTAAGAGACAACCTACTAAAACCATACAAATTTAGGGGGCAAATTTGTAAAATTTTTTTTTAATCCTAAAATAATGGCATTAGGTTAAGCATGTAAGTCCTCCCAGCACATTTTAGCAGCTCCTCAACTTCACTCATATCGTCAAAAGAACAAAAAGGTGATGAAAGGCCCTTTGTATAAATAGACTAAGTAAAAAGTGTTTTTAAGTAAATAAACCACAAAAAAATAAATTGAGTAAATAGGCCAACTTCCACATAAGCTATTCCACGTCATCAATAACCGACCGACCAGACCAAGTACCGACCGAGCAGACCAATAACCGACCGAACAGACCAAGAACCAACTATCAGACCAAGAACCGACCACCAAGAACAGATCAAGAACCGACTACCAGACCAAGAACCGACCGACTAGACCAAGAACAGACCAATAACAAACTCTAATAAAACATTAAAAATATACATTTTTACATATTTTTTGATTTTTTTGGTATTAATAACCATTGTAATTTATAAAAGAGAAAAAAATATTGGTAAAAAGAGAAAAAACCAAGAACACATCAAGATGTCTTGGTCTGTTCTTAGTTTTTTCATTTTTTACCAATTGTTTTCTCTTTAATAAATTAAATATCTCTCCAATCTTCGGGACTAGTTCGAAGTTTTTCAAAAAAAAAAAAAAAAAAACATCACTATCTATTCTTGGTCAAGTGTTGTCGGTTTTTGGTTTTTTTTTTTTTACCAAATTTTTTTTTCTCTTTTATAAATTAAATGTCTCTCCAATCTTCGGGACTAGTTCGAAGTTTTTCAAAAAAAAAAAAAAACATCACTATCTATTCTTGGTCAAGTGTTGTCGGTTCTTGGTTTTTCTTTTTTTACCAAATTTTTTTTTCTCTTTTATAAATTAAATGTCTTTCCAATCTTTGGGACTAGTTTGAAGCTTTCCAAAAAAAAAAAAAATATTATTGTCTATTCTTGTTCAAGTGTTGTCGGTTCTTGGTATGTTCTTGGTTTTTTCTTTTTTTACCAATTTTTTTTCTCTTTTATAAATTACAATGGTTATTCATACCCAAAAAATCAAAATATATGTAAAAATATATGTTTTTAATGTTTTATTAGAGTTTGTTATTGGTCTGTTCTTGGTTTGGTCGGTCAGTTCTTGGTCTGTTCTTGGTCTGGTGGTCGATTCTTAGTCTGTTCTTGGTCTGGTGGTCTGTTCTTGGTCTGTTCTTAGTCTGGTGGTCGGTTCTTGGTCTGTTCTTGGTCTGGTCGGTCAGTTCTTGATCTGTTCTTGGTCTGGTGGTCGATTCTTGGTCTGTTCTTGGTCTGGTGGTCGGTTATTGGTCAGTTCTTGGTCTGGTGGTCAGTTCTTGGTCTGTTCGGTCTGTTCTTAATGCGTTTTGTTCTGTTCGGCCGGTTATTGGTCTGTTCTTGGTTTGTTTTGAAAAAAATAAAACAAGAATAAAACCTTAATGTTAATTCAGAGAATAAAATCTTAGTGTTACTTGAGGGAGAGCAGATTCCGTTGCCTCGTCAACTTGAATTTTAGAAATAGCCGTCTTAGTTGAGGAAGAATAGCTGTTTTTTGATGCAATTTCAGTTGTGGTCTGGAGGCGTGGGTGTTCTGATCGGGTCAGCGTTCGGAAGGTCGGTGGAAATGGTCGGTCGGTGTTGGGGTTGGTCGGTCGGTGTTCAGGATGGTCAGTCGGTGTTCGTGAGGATTGGTCGGCGTTTGGGGAAGGTCGGTCGGCGTTGGAGTGGAAATGGTCTGTCAGCGTTGGAGTTGGTCGGTTGGCGTTCGAAAGGGTCGGGTTAGAGTTCTGGAGGGTCGGTTGGCGTTTGGGATGGTCAGTCGGTGTTCGTGAGGATCGGTCGGCGTTTGGGGAAGGTCGTTCAGCGTTGGGGTGGTCGGTGAGAACCAGAGAGGAGAGAGAGAGGAAAGGGGGACTGGGCAAGGAAGGAATGGAAGGAAAAAAAAAAAAAAGAAAGAAAAAGGATCAGTCGGGGTGAGAATCTGTTCAATTTTGAGAGAAGAAAAATTAAAATGTACACATAGATTAAAATATGGTCCATTTTTTAATACATGTCAATGGCTTTTTGTTATGAAAAAAAAAAAGGTCTAGATCTCCGATTTCTATTTTCTTCCTGTCTCTTTCATCAAAATTTCTCGGTGACGAAAGAGAGACGAGAAACGTCTCTAACACTGAAGCAAAACAAGAAGAAGAAGAAGAAGATAGACTTCTATTAAAAATTTCCCGTGTTCTCAGCCCTTTTTCTTTAGGCCGTTGTTTTCTTATTTTGCCAACAAGAAATTTCCAACTTCTCTTCCTTTTCACACCCATCTCTTCCCATTTTCCCTTCCACTTTCCGTTCCATTTTCCGGGAAAATTTTTCCAATGGGCAAGACGGGATTGTTCGATTTGGAGAGGCAATTTTCGTTCTATGGAGCGTATCACAGCAACCAAATAAACATTCTGATTCACACCTTGTTTGTGTGGCCAATCGCGTTCACTTTGCTCGTTCTTCTCTATTTCACACCTGTTCTGATCGAATTCCCATCTGGGTTTGACTCGATTGGCCGTGGAGTTCTGGCTTTGAATATGGGTTTTGTTTTCACGGTCATCTACAGCTTGTTCTATATCGCCATGGATAAGAAAGCTGGCTCTTTGGCTGCTTTCCTCTGTTTTCTCTGCTGGGTTGGAGCCAGTTTTCTTGCTAGTTCGCTTGGCTACTCCTTGGCTTGGAAGGTAATTCTTTTTTTTTTTTTGGTATGATTTTGAATATTTTATGCTTGGATTGATTGATGAAAATATGAATTAGAATTTTATTATCTGGGCTGTATTTATTTATTTATTTTTAAGTTAATTTTGCAATGTAAGTGTCACAGAAGTTTGAATTGTCTTCACATGGGATTGAAAAGGGGGACATTTACAAGTCCTTCAAATAAGGTCTCGGAGAATTCTTTAAAAAAAAAGAAAAAAAAAAACTTCCATGGTATTCAGCCACAGATTTAGATGATGGCTTCTATGCTTCCTATGGGCCCTGGGATTAGGGTACTTCAGCTAAGAATCTAGTAGATTCTTACGTCAGAAAAAAAAGAAGAAGAAGAAGAAGACAGAGAGAATAAATTTCATGTGGGGTTTGTTTGTTGTGAAATTAAGCACAATTTAATGGTTCAAAACTGTGCCTACTACATAATTCTCCTTTTTTGTTTTGGTGATGATATGATATTTACTTCCCTTAATCTAATATGATTTGTTTAACTATGTTCGTGTTTTGGTTCATGGATTGTTTCCCCCCCTATTTTCACTTGAAAACTGATATGGGATTGAGGATTTTTTCTTTTTTGTTAACTGTTAAGTCTAATGCCTGATTAAGTGATAATCACATGGAATTTTTCATTGTCCATTGTCGTTGAGAGATGCAGAAACTTTTGTTTTGAATTTTAATGCTCACTTTGTTGGAAGTTGAATTTTGATTAGATGGGCTTTGTCAAACTGTGATATCCTCACCACAAAAAACCAAAAAAAAAAAAAAAAAAAGAAAAAAAAATCTAGGGCATTTATTGCTTTTAACTGTATTACCTACACTGATGTTTGGCATTCTTTAACTAATTCTGTCAAGAACAACAGAACAAGTGTGAAATTTAACTCATCACAAAAAAAAAAAAAAAAAAAAAGAAAAAAAAAATCTAGGGCATTTATTGCTTTTAACTGTATTACCTACACTGATGTTTGGCATTCTTTAACTAATTCTGTCAAGAACAACAGAACAAGTGTGAAATTTAACTCATCACACTGACTTTTGTGAACAGAAAACTCCCAAGATTTGAGGTGGTTCAGAATTTTCTCTCTCTCTCTCTCTCTCCTTTTATTTATTATTATCATTATTTTTTTAGGATTCATTTCTAATTGCATGAAACACCAACATACATTTCTCAGGTCGTGCTGGCTGCTCAATTATTGTGCTGGACCGGACAATTTATAGGACATGGGGTGTTTGAGGTTTCTATCTCTAGACTCTAAACTTTACACATTCCCAGATATTCCTAACAAATTTAAGTATGTTTTTTATACCCCAAAACAAGCACATTTTGTGGAAACTCTTTCCCAACTGATTACTTTAAATGTCTCTTTGTGCGGTTGTAGAAACGTGCACCTGCTCTTCTGGACAATCTTGTTCAAGCCTTTCTGATGGCTCCTTTCTTTGTTGTGCTTGAGGTAACCTTTTCAAACACTTACAACTTGATATCAGTATATTTGTTCGACGAAGAGTTAGATTCTGTTAGATTTATTTTTATTCTTGTTTCTTGCAGGTTCTTCAAACGTTATTCGACTACGAACCTTATCCAGGATTTCGTACAAGTGTGAAATCGAGGATTGAAGCTGAAATCCAAGAGTGGCAAGAGAAGAAACAAAAGAAAGTCTCTTAAATTAGAGTATATTACATCTGATGATACGGGTTCTATAATCCTCTTGAGAAGAGGAAAAGCTAGATTAACTATATTGGTTGTTGTATATTGTCAAACAGCTCTACACTGTCTGTGACTTTTCAACAGATGAACTATGTGCCTTTGCAAAGAATGTCTAAGTCCTGAAACAATTTATGTTTTCTTTTCAACGTGAACATGTACCAAATATGAAAAGCCTCATAACAATAGATGGAAACTACAAAGGAATAAACCAACCTGAGAACAAGCTATAGTTGACTTTATATCCAACCCAGTCTGAGGAAGATTTCCCAATGACGCTACTGCCAGGGTCTGGCTTCTGAACTTGCCTGTCTCTCATTGTTTCCCTTACACCGATGGCGTCGTTCCACTGACCAGCACTTGCATACATGTTGGCAAGAAGGACGTAGTCGCTGCTGTGATATGGTTCTACCAACAAAATATGTTCCCTCACTTTCTCTCCAAGCTCAATGTTGCCATGAATCCGGCACGCTGCCAAAAGCGTCCTCCAAACAATCGCATTGCACTTCATCGGCATACTCTTAATCAACTGGTAAGCCTCCTCAAGCAGCCCAGCTCGTCCCAACATATCAACCATGCACCCGTAGTGTTTCACGGTTGGTTTTACATGGTACAGTTTGCTCATCATATCAAAGTATCTTCTACCTTCATCAACCATCCCACCATGACTACAAGCACACAAAACGCTCAAGAAAGTGATGCCATCCGGTCTCTGGAGCTTTGTTTCCAACATTTTGGAAAACAATGCCAATGCCTCATTTACACGACCATGAGTTGCGAAAGCTAGAATCATTGTGTTCCATGAAACCAAGTTCTTCTCTTTCACTTTGTCAAAAGTCTCGTACGCTTCTTCAACAGCTCCACACTTTGCATACATGTGAACAAGCATATTCGACACAGAGACAATGCTTCCAAAACCAATGTTGTCAATATAAGAATGAACCCACCTCCCAAAATCCAATGCACCCAATGAAGAACATGCCGAGAGCGTCGCAACAAAAGTTGCATCGTCAGGTTGTGTTCCCCTCTGCAACATTCTCAGGAATAAATCAAGAGCTTCCTTGAACTTTCCGCAGTAGACATGGCAGTCAAGAATGGCGTTCCAAGCCACTAAATCCGGACTGGGTATTTCATCAAACAGTTGGAGGGCATTTTCAATCTCCCCAAACATGCCATACATATGAATTAGAGTGTTCCTCACAAAGACATGAGAATCCACGCCATGTTTCAAAGCAGAACTATGAATCTGCTTGCCCAACTTGTCTGAATCCAATTGCCCAGAAACCTTAAGCAAAAATGCAAAAGTGAAATTATCAGCCAACTCTCCTTTCTCTTGCATTCTCTTAAAGAATACAACAGATTTGTGAGGCTGATTAGTCTTCCCAAATCCCCTAATCATGGTATTCCAAAGGAACCCATCTGAGTTTTCGATTCGATCGAAAACCGAAACCGAATAATCCATATCTCCCTGCACTGAGCAAAACTCAACCATCTTTGCCAAAACAAACAGATCCTGATCAAACCCAAGTTGTATAATACGGGCATGGATTTGCTTCAAGTCTTTCATGGTGGAACAGAACTTGAAAAGGGACATAACCCTTTTCGCCTTTTCGAGGAAAGTGCCATTTGGGTCGGAATTGGAAGAGAAGGTACAAGTGGGCTTAGAGAAGGACAATGGAAGGAGAAGTAAAGACCGTTTTGTTTTGGCTTGGAAACGAAGAAGAGATAAGAAATTTGATTTTTGGCGGGTAAGGTGACCAACGGTCATAATAACCAACTGAAAAAGTTGTCTTGGAGACTTCGTGAAGGTCTAAAAAAACCATCAAATAATTCATCAGTTTTGAAAAGAAATAAAATAAAAATGAAAAGCATTTAATGAACGAACGAAAATAGGTACCCCTAGCTTGAAGTCGACCACAAGTTTAGTTTAGTAATTCGGTTGCAGTAGGATCTCCAAACACTAGCACAAATTTTCAATGAAGATCATAAAAGTGAATTCTCTCCCTTAAAAGAGAAGCGCGTCATTACAATCCCATCAAATGTGTTAGTCTCATCACATATGCTAACAAAAGAGATACGTGAAGGGAAATTTTAACTCAAATATTAGAGTGTCACGCAAATAAATCTTCACATTTAATACCTTAAAAGAGATAACACAACAGTTAAACACTCGTATTGCGAACCTACCATAGGTCCATAGTACTCCATCACTGCTAGACCGTTATAATTGAGTGGTGACCACACGTATTTCCAAATTCATTCTTGAGACTATTTTTCAATATTTCAATATTTTCCTGTTTTGTTTGGAACCCAAATCATTGAAGGAAAAAGCCACTCTGGCTAATAGTTGATACTTGATCGATTTCGGTTTAATAAGTAAAAAAAAAAAAAAAGGAAGGAAAAGACAGATTTGGAATGGTGCAATTTTTAGACTTTTTTTTTTCCACAAAAAAGATGGCGTATACTTTTTAGCAATATGATGATGAATCCTCATCTAACTATTTATATATTCAATAAGATAACATCAAATCAATAATCTAATAGATGTTTTATATTTTTCTATTATTTTTATTGCAATAAAATAATATCAAAGAATAATGCAACTAAAGAATTTGGAATTCAAACTAGTTTAAAGAAATTTTCAAATGATTAAAACTTAAAATATTCAGAAAAAAAACCCTATTAAAAATTAAACGATATGGATATAATATATATGGATAGCAACTTAGAAAAAATAAAAAGAATTAAAATTCAGAAATCTTAACGAATCATTATTAATAATTTAATATATACGGATAACCCCTTAGAATTCGTTATATATGAATATCCATATAAAATATTATTCCTCCAATTAATTAAGGTTCGATGCAGGAAATGTCGCTTAAAAAAATGTGGATTTTCATCTAACACAGTATCTTGAACTGAAACATGCCCAAAGTATAGCTTTTGGTCTATTTGCCTTGCCGTGTCTGCTTTGACTTTGTCTTTTGACACGTTGGCGAGTCTCTTTTGTCGTCACAACTTCTAGTAGCAAAAGGTATAGGAGGAAAGAAAGGAAAATCTCTCCAAACTTGAAGAAATTAAACCTGCTTTGTTCTTGAAGATTATAAGTAGCTCAAGAGCATTTGAAAGCACAATGCAGATGTTTGCCGTTAAATTGTTCATAAGATAAGTGTCTTTGAAAGACAAAAATATCAAAGCTAGGATCAACAAAGAGAGACCATTTAAGACTCGTTTGTTTCATATGTTTAAACTCATGATTTTATTTCTGCTACATTATTTTCTTCTCATAAAAATTTTAAATTTTAAATGCTAAAATTAAAAATCACTAATTTAAACGCATGAACCAAACGAACTCTTAGATTTTGACATTCCATTTGGTAATATGGATGAGGAAGTTGTTTGGTTGAGCCGTTTAATAGCACTCGCCTTCGATTTGACTGAGAAAATAAACCCAATTATATTTTAAGACCACTACTCTTTGGCATCATTAGTGTGAGAAAAAAAAAAAACCCCAACTATTTCTTAAGATCACTACTATTTGACATCATTAGTGTCTGACATTTCGTTGTGAGTTGTAGTACTGGACACCATTGATATTCATACTCTTTATTCATAATTTTTTTTAATGTAAATTAGTGTCAGAGTCATTTCTTAATAATATATTTCACTCACATAAGCTTGCTGGTCCTCATCATTTGACTTGAAAAATAGGGATAGAATAAATTTCAATCATTTGTTCATTTCATTTTTGGGCCTCATTAAGCACAATTAGGTTGTTCTAGTGCATTCGTCAATAAAATTAAAATTAATAAACTACCGTGATTCACCCAAAGTAGTGAGTTTGGTAGGAGCCCAGATGTCGGAATGTATGACCATAAAAGAACTGGACTTGGATTCAAAATGAATGGAAACGAAGCACAATTGCTTTTCTCCAATTCAAAAACCTTGCATTAAATACTATAAACATCCATTTTTGCAAATAAGCTTGGAAACAGTTTCTTCAAATAACTAAATAAAGCACGCTCCAAATGTCGACGCCATAACCAGATGTTAGATTTCTTCTTAAATTGTAGCACTTTCACTCCCCAAAAGAGAGCCAACTCATCTGGAGGGATATTCCCTTTACTTGATATGTTAAGTAGTTTTGACCATGTGATGTGTAGTGATGCCTTAATCAACTCATATTTCTTTAGGAATGAGCCGTCCGACTCTTGCAAACCATGACCAAATTCCAAAAATTTTATCGACTCTCTTCTCCACTTGATCGGCATGAATCTATCAATAACAGAATTAGCACAAATTATGAACAAAGGGACCAGTCATTCATGATGTTGAACGTCTCATGTGCTTCTTTAACATCCAACACTTTTACAATATTCATGTTGATAAGTGAATTCATCATTGCCAAAACAAGTGGTTAATTTACGCATAAGAATGAGTCCACGTCCAAAGCACCCGTCCATGCCCTTGAAATAATCTCTCGAGGTCCATGCACGTCAATCACCAAATCTCACTCACTGTTTCAGACAAGTGTGAGGATAAAAATGGAACCTCTTACATATCTATAAGAAAGAAGACCGTTAACTACTCATCTCTCATCGCTATGCCATCATTAATAATGCAATCATCAGGTTTTGTGATTGTTTATTAAATATGATATATAAGAGAGTTTGATTCAATAATTTCATTTTTTTTTTTATTGATGGTTCTCTTTTATTGACAAAAATATCAAATAACAAGATGGTTATACTATGTACTAAAAGAAAGTTGAATGTTGAGGAAAGCTTCATTCAGGCTTAGGCCACATTTGCAGTGTAGGCAAGTAAGGTGATCAATACTCAACTTGTAGGGAAATTGTGATGAATGACGTAAGAAATAAAGTTGGGGTAAAACACTTGCAATGAATAATACATTTTCCCACATTAATAGACCTGCGTAGACAAATATACTTTTTAGGATTTTTTTTCCTAATAATTTTTCCTTCATTTTTTTCTCTCTCTCTCTATATCTTCTCCCACCGACTTTCATACGAAGCCACGGTGGGATCTTTTTCTTCTTCGGTAGCGATCCGGCCTCCACTCTCTTTATCTTTTGAGTACTCTAGTGAGAAAACGGAAGTAGCATAATAGGCTACCGTTCGTAGCTAAAATTTCTAGTATCTTAACAGACTACCTTCAGTTTCACAGTAGGATACTGTCAAATGTCATTGGTTTGCTGCAGATATCTTTGGCATGACACTGTTAGGGGCATTTTTAGAAATCCAAACGTCTTGGGGTAATGAATGCTTCAAGAGTCTCTTTTTTCTTTTTCTTTTTTTTTCCCAATAGAAAAAGTAATTCCAAGGATTATAGTTGTGGAATTCACAATGTTATTTTTTGATATTTTTTCAGTTTTTATCAGGTGGCAGTTATTATTATTATTTTTTTGTTCTTGTTCTTTATCAATAATGGCTAGATCATTTACTTTATCCTCTTTTTAGGTGCCATGTTGATAAATTATTGCTCTAAATTGGACTATAGCATGCCTTATAATTAGCTTAATTTTACCTCCTAATGTATAATTAGATGCGATATACGAGTAAGGTTTCAATGCATACTATTTTTTTTTCTTTTCTTTTCTTAAGTGTGTGTAGTTCAAATCTAAGCCTTAAATAAGGCTTAAAAATGATCTCATTCCTTGAAATTTTTTCAATTTTTATCAGGTGGTACTTGATATTTTTTTTAAAAAAAAAAATTAGATTTTTTTAATCATCCAATTGATAAAACCGTAAATTTGTCACGCCCCCCAAACGAGGTGGGTGACGTGGAGCTCGATTAGGGGTTAATAAAACAGATTCCCAGACGAGCCCCACTCAACTGCATTAAAATATAAATAGATTACAGAATCCCGGAGCCTCTGACACACAGAACTCCACCCCACAGGACATATAGTATCGTACATACATGCTCATGTAAATAATCATTACAACAGACATCAACCACAGTCTAGTTAATCCAAATATTACATAAGTTTACAGAATTTCTTAAATTCCTTACATTTGTCCAAGAGGATGTCCACGATCCTCACTTGATTTCAACAGCAGTACAACTCAGCTGCTCCGTAACAATTATCCAGCTACTGTGCACCGCTCCTAGAGTCTCCTGGGAGGGGTTTAATACATTTAAAACATAAAACGTGAACGAAAGACGCAGTAGGATATACTTTGAAATGACTTAAAATAAATGAATAGATAAATGAGCGAGTAAAGGAATGAATGAATAAATAAATAAAATTAGACATTCAGTCCCGACAGAACAGCCGGAACCTCACATCATTTTTCTCAAAGGAAATAAATGTAAAATCTCCATATTATAGGCTTCAGCGAGTAATTAGTACAAATTACTTACCTAACTAAGTGTCTCACCTACCCGGACTGAGTTTCGGGTTCTGCCCCCGAGGATGCACTCTCTGCATCCTATCTAGGCTTACAGCAATAGACTCTCTTACCGGTTCACAAGATCTCTTTATTAAGAAATCATTCATTAACATTTTGAAATCGTTAATATGACCCCACGAACTACTCAAGCCGCGGGCCCCATGACTGGACAATCCATGAGGTTCCATGACTAATCAAGCCATGGTTTTCAAAGCGTTTTTCTTTCACAAACCAATCCATTTCTTTAAAACATTTTCAAGGCCAAAATCCTTTTTGAAAACGGGCTCACAAAGAAAAGGGATAGAAATCCTACCTTGCATTATCAAACCTGGGACTAGCGTTGCCTTTTCCGGCTTCCGCTTCCTCAAGCCCCTTCAGTCTGAATCATCAGCGATCACTGATGCAAGACAACACTTTAGGATTAATTTTTCATTCCTAAAGCAATCCAAATCTCAATTTCCAACCAAGATTTCCTATTAGTGTGCCCTAATCCATTTTCATGTTTCAAAATATCATTCCATGGGTTTTTAATCTCAAATCAAGGATTAATAATGCTAATCC